ACCTATGGTCCGAAGCTGTGTCCCAACGTTTTTATTGTTTTATTGCGGGGTGTACGCCTTGCGTCGGGAAAACCCGAAAAAGGCACCCCGCTTTTGAAGGACGTGTCTTTTTATGTCTGGTCCGCCACAATATAAAAACCAAAAAACTCTCTCGGATTATTTTATATAAACCGTCGCAGTAACCCCTGCGACAAAACGATACAAATGGTAAAATCTCCAGATAAGATCGCTCTTGTTATTTCAATAATATATCACGCGCGAATCTAATTTCGGCGCTCGGTAGGTTTAACGTAAAATCGCAGCTGCTCGTTGTTAACGGGAACGAGTCTCGTTAAAACGGGTCCTCGGTCCCGAAAACCGCGCATTTATCGGGGGAACACCGTGCCGTTCGCCGCCGGAACGATTAATCAATCGCGCTGTTTCATATTTTGCAACATGCTCAGAAGTTCGGCTACGAAAGTCCGTCCGGCATAAATCATCAATCTATCCGTCACTCGCCGTGCCGACGATTATCGCGGGCACTGCGCCACGATGAATAAACCGCCTTTAAAATTTCATTCATCCCTTGGCCGACATACGAGAGATTACCTATCAAGATGCTTCGCGGCTTGTGTTATCGGCTGGCGCCGGGCGTCGGCCGATCGCGTTCAATAAATAATCACGAATCGCGCCGAAGTCGGCGCTAAAGGAGCGTTCCGCTCGCACGAAATCATATCGAACGGGGGCCGGCCGGTGATTTATAGAGAACTCGATACGATGGCGTCGCGCCGCGCCGCGGGAAAAAAAACTACGAGTTTCGCAGCGTTTCCCGAAACCTCGTCGGGTCCGTTTTTACGGTTCTCCGAATGGAAATTGCGAGGTTCGCGGGGCGAAGATGCCGCGACGGTGCTTCGTTTCGCATCGACGAATTCCGTTCCACTCGTGCGGTACCTTTTTTGCTAATTTTCCTCCGGCGAGTGAAGAAGAAAATGGACAATTTTGGAGGAGGAGACGCGATTGTTCGAGCCTCGCGGCTCATTTTTATAGCCGCCAATTGGGCCATTTTGGCGAGCCGGGGGTGGAAAACGGGGACCGACCCCTATAGAATTCTACGGCGAGATGCCTCGCAGGCGTCCCGACGAACAGAAACGGCCCCTCTGTCCCTTTTCCGTCGGCGAACTTATCGCGACGCCTATTCTCCCCTTTTATTTTCCCCGTTCTGACCCACATGGCTGCCGACGCAGCGCCGCGCCGGCCTGCAGCACTTACAATATCTGCTTCCAATTAAACCGGTGCAAGTGGATCGCGTTAAAAAAAAGCCGAAAGGAAGCTGACCCCTTTGCCGCGGACCCGGCAACGCCGACGAATCCGAGGGCTATCCTTTCACCGGTTCCACCCTTCGTGATCGACGACCCCATAACACCTACTCTCCTCGGTTTTCTTTGCCGTTGCACCGTCATTCGAGAAACCGTCATTCTCCGCGCTCGCTTATGACCGCAAACTTTGGGTTGAATCGCGGAAGAAAAATTGTTTACAATTGTTTGTGACAATGTTATATTGTTCACGATCGCGAGCATCTTTACGCAATTATTGCACATAAAAGTTGGTGAAATATTCTATAATATAATATAATATATAATATATAGTATATAATATAGTATAATATAATTTATATATTATACTATGTTATAATAATATTATAAGTATAATATTATAATATAGTATAATATGATAATTTTATTTAATAAATAATATTATTATATATTATTATTATATATTATATACTATATATATACTATATATTATATTATATTTATTATCATTTAATATATATATCTTAAAATGCCCAACGTGAAATTGCAAAATATAATATAAATATAAATATAATGTAATATACACGAGCAGCTTTTTATTCTCATCTCTCGTTTAGCTCAAGGAATTTTTTGGTCGAAGGGTGGAGCATTTTTCCCTCCTCTAGAATTTGATAAAATAATTTACGGAAAAGAATGTTAACGTTCGCATCGTTTCGACATTTAATATTACTCGGAGTCGAGTTAATTTCAGAAAAGCAGGTCGTTACATGTAGGATTTTATGTGGAAGTAAATTATGTTTGATTAAGCAGATAGTTGTATTTCACGAATCGCTGATTTTGCAACATTTTCTACGGCGAAGTTACGTGATTATCATATTATCGGTCGCCCCCGGAGTTAGCCTGGTTATCGCATTTTTTTTTTCAAGCACGCCGAAGGCCGTCCACAGTTCACGTGCCGATGCCCGTACTCTGATTAAACAAGTTAAACAGCTATTATATCAACTTTCAGCATCAGAAGCTGTTCGTGCAAACGGAGTTCTTCTTTGAAATAGTACAGTTTCCCCGTTCCGTGAATTTCTTTCCGCGCCCTCGTTACTTATTCGTCGACCATAAATATTTACACGTTCGACTGTTTTTCTTCAAAAATAATGTTCATTTCAACGCGTTGCAATTCGATGCATGTTACAATTCGTCGGCCCTCGCGAACCTCGCATCGCGAGCTTTCGTTGTTCCATCGTTCCCGATTTAACGTTAACAAAATCTATCGCGCACCGAGCTCGGCCGAACAACATTTGTTAAGACGATCGTTCTCGTAATCTCGACAATTTGCAAATGAAAAACGCGGGAGGCCGGTCGTTCGGAGCTGCACGGCAGGCTCTAGCGTTCATTTCGGTGCGGAGAAACTGGCCAGTTTCGCGCGCCGTTTCAGAAATAAACGTAACGATAATTAACGAAGCGTACACGATACGAGAAAATTATGCGGAAAATAATTTACACGGGAGTCCGATAAAATTGTCGATAGGATTTCTGTTCCGGAATCGCGTGTGCGCGGCGGCTTTCCTACGAACGAAAATGGCGCAGCGTTCGAGCGGGCCGCGGGTCGCGTCGCTTCCATATCATTCGGTCTCCGACGGTTAATAATGCCGATAACAAAGAGCAAAGACAGGTGGGAAAAAAGGGGGGTCGGACGGCATTCGAAGTCCCCTCTGGGGCGGGGTAAATCATCCCGGCCGATCTATGTTTCTTCGACGGGAGGACAGGATCGCGCGCGTTTAATTTCCCTGCGCCGCGTTCCCCTGGATATCCGCCGTTCGCATATCGAGTCGCATCAACGTTATTGCAGTGTGCATCCACGCGGCCAGTTATCGGCCCCGCGTGCACTGTGCGCCCGCCTGTGCGTTGTACGCGGCCAACATTGTTCCCGTCCGGCATCCATCATGAGATTTCCTGCAGGTCCGAATCGTCGAAGATTTCGCCTTTCGACGCGGCAGCTTTACCCTCGTCGCGTTTCGTCGCTGCTGCAGAAAATTCTTCCTATTTCTCCTTCGGGTGGAAACGAAAGTAGATTTAATTTGGGAAGAGGGGACACGATCGTTCGAGGCTCGGCTTTATACAGGGTGTCCCAGGTTTTAATGTTCAAACTTGGTTAGTGTTTTCTGTGGCACAAAGTAAGACAAAAATGTTATGCAAATATAGGTCATATAGAGCTTTATTAACACGTTCCGTGCCGAGCTTTTTTTACTCGAATCTTCACACTTTGATATTTTACTAAAACTTGATGTATTACGTGCAATTATTAATTCTCGTACACATAACAACGTAACAAAAACTTATCAACGCCCATTCTTGCGGTGGAAATTGATTCTTCGGTTCTAAATTTCTTGTAAACAATTTGTTCAGTTCACTAAGTAAACATGCAAGCGTGTACCATCGATGGTACACGTGGCACGGAACGTGTTAACACTGACGGCCGCGCGAGAAACCTCAGGAGTTTCACAGAATTAAAGTATTTAATACAATTGAATTAAAATTGCAAAACAAAGTTATATGACATCAGTTACATTTTTTAGCATTCTTACCTCTTGCAAATCTTAATAAAACTGAGAAACTAGAATGGATTAGCGTGAAAGTGAATTTTTAAATAATTCCGTAACCCACGCATGGATGACGCGGCAGTCGAAGTGTTAAGAAGTTATAACAAAAATTCAGAATAGGAATAGTAATCGACTTGCTGTTACTGCAAGCATTGGCTCGAACAGATCAGCACACGCGGTGTGTTTATGTAAGCTGTGCTTATTAATATATTTCGAAATGTATTAATAACCGTTGTTGACAATGCATGATTGACATCGATCGAAGATTTTTTTTTATTTTTTATTTTTTATTTTTTTAGTTGATTACTATTCCTATTTTGAATTTTTGTTACAACTTCTTAATAAATCTCTATACGAGCTATGTTTACATAACATTTTCTTCTTACTTTGTGCCATAGAATATACTGACAAAGTTTGAACATTAAAACCTGGAACACCTTGTAATGTAATGTCTCCCTTACCGACGCTCAGATTGTGCAGAAAAATGGACAATTTGGGAAGAGAAGATGCGATTATTCGAGCCTTGCAGCTGGTTTTTATAGTTGTTGACGATCGATAACCATAAAACAGCGAGCCATAAGGCTCGAACAATCGTATCTGCTCTTCCAAAATTGTCCATTTATGTGGACAATCTGAGCGTCAATTAGGGAGACATTAACTGTAGTTGTCGATAATCAGCGACTAGAAGAGACTCGGATAATCGTATCCGCTCTATCCAAATTGTTCGTTCTTGTTGATAAGCCGAGAGAGAATTGGAGAGAATTCGCTCTAATATCAGTCCTCTGTTCTATTTCCAGGTGTCGAAAAATTTCGTCGTCTGGCAGAGCCACGCTGAAATTCGCGCGTAGGTGGATCCATCATAGAGAGAGAGCGAGAGGAAGAGAGAGAAACAGAAAGAGCAAGAGAGAGGAAGCTCGACAGAGAAAGAGCAAGAGAGAGAGAGAGAGTGAGAGAAAGAGCAAGAGAGAGAGAGAGAGAGAATGAGAGAGGGGGATAGAGAATAAAGGGAGAGGGGCACACAGGTGCGGGCTCGAAGCGCGTGCGACGACGCGGAGCGGCGTGGAGCGGCGCGAAGAGGCGCGGCGCGGAGCGGAGCGGATCGGCGCGAGTAGGCGCGTCGCGTCGCGTCGCCACTGCTGCAGCATATCGTGGAAACTCAGTCCGACGGCGGCGCCGCACCAGACGTACGTGTTAGGACGCGCCTTTACGTGGTCCACCGATCAAACGTCCGATTCCGTTCGAGTCCCGATTGTGCGGTTGCGAAAAGAAAAAGCGAGACGAACCGCCGGAGAACAACGACGAAACTGAGAACGCGACCGTTCGAAAAGAAACCGAGAAACGAAAGACGAAACGATCGATAGTAAAAAAAGAGGAGAGAAGCTGTAGTAACACGTTCGATCGCGTCCGGGCGAAGGAGTCGCCGTTCTGGATCCCGCGATCCCTCGCGATCCCTGTTCAGGAGAAGATCGAGAACGGTCGCGCGATCGAGCGAGCGAGCCCGAGTCCGAATTCTCGCACGAATCCTCCGAGGATCGTAGGGGACCGAGGGACGAGGGACACCGAGTGCCTTTTTCCTTTCTGTTTTCGTTTCGCGGGACGAGTTTTGGTCCCGCCCAGAGGGGCGGCCCCCGACCGCGAGGATCCTCGGCCCGAACTGACGGACTTCTCCCATCGCAGTACGAGCCCGTGACCGGAACCAGGATGTTTTCGTCCTCGAGAGCTTTCCCGCCGCTTTTCTTCGCGGCGCTCTTCGCCTACATCGGTGAGTTTCCATCCCCCGTCGTTGTTGCCCGTTTCCACCCGCGGCGACGCGATCGTCGTCGCACGGTATCTTCTCCGAACGATATCTGGAATCGTCGTGTCGCGATTTCGTAAGGGTGGGCGCGGAGTGTAGGGTGTCCCAGCGTCGAAGGCACCGCCGTGGAGACGGGGTTTTACGTGAAAACGATCGTCGATAATACGGAGTGAATTGTTTTCCACTCGCGGCTCGTTCTTATAGTTCCCGATCGTCGACGATTACTAAAAACGGGGCGCAAGAATAATCGTATCCACTTTTCTAAAATTGTCCACTTTTCTTTACAAACTGAAGGAAATTTGGGGAGAATTTACCGTGTACAGCGATCGAGAATGCACGCGATGGCAACGCGTCCGTTCTCGCACATTTATCTGCCGGATAGAGGCGTAATTGGAACGACTAAGAATAGATCGCAGTCTCCTCGAACGTGACCCTTTCAATTTTTCAACGATACAATCGTGCAAAGAGCGGTACCGCATCGTTATCGAGTGAGATAAAAGCCAATGAGATGCTTACATACGTTCATTCAGAGCGCAAAGAGTTACGAGTTTGCCCGAGACTGAATTTATTCCGTATCTTCGACTGATTTTTTTCGCGCAATAATCCCCCCTCCGCGGGTGTACCATCGATGCTGGGGATACCGTCGTACCGACGATACGGCACGGTTGAATTATACGATGCCGTAGCAAGTTCCGAAGTGGAGGGGAGGGGGTCTCTTTGGGCCACAGAGGGTTAATGTTTCTTAGGAAGTTCCTCGAGCTCCGAAGTTCCTCGGAATGGACATAGCCTAACGCCTTAACGAACGTATAGCAGCCGGGACTAATAAGGGTCCACGGCACATTTCGGTCGGAATCGAGTTAAGGGTATGCCATGGTTTCGTAGACTCTATAGATTATTTTGATACACACGGATTGTTCCGTCCTTCAACGGAATTTTCGTGCTGCATCCGCCTAACTTTCTCCGGGACGAATTACCTTTTCCGTTTGTCCCTAAAAAGCATTTATTGACGGGGAATCTTCGGCTCAGCGAGACAAATTAACACGGACATTGCGCAACGAGCCGACGTAACGTTGGAAACGAGAAGCGTGCTAGGTGTTCGAAATTTACGAAGGAGAAGTATGACACGGTATCGTGGTAGGGCGTTTATGCTGGCACTGCTGGATCTACCGATGAAACAGGGGTTCGAGGTACGAGAAAATTTCACCGCAATGCCGTGTTAAATAGCTCGTTTCCGATTGGCAGTTGATCGTCGATATCGGAGACCAAAAGCCAAGGCGTCGCCGAGATAAAGTACGACGATGGACTCTGATCGAAGTCCACCACTCGATATTGGCGCGTCTAATGATTCGCGGTTTTGGCACTCGGTGCGGAAAGAGGGTGGTTTTAATCAAAATGGGTCCGGGCGGTCGAAATAACTTCTGGTTAACGCGTCCTGTGGCCTTTCACATCGTCGAAAAACCCGAGACTTCTACGAAGAATAGACGCGAAATTTTGAGAATTTAATATATATATTATTTATTATATATATAATAAATAATCTTGTTTCGCAAGTTCTCTCATCTGCGAGATAAATTGCAAGATCAATGTCACGAGCATCTAGGAAATCCAATTTCCAAAGATTTATCTACGGCGCAAACGCGGTAAATACGTCGAATTGTTATCGCGAGGATTTCGAATTTTCGAACGTCGATTTCGCGAATTCGCGTTGAAATTACGCGGCCAAGCGAAGGAACAATCTTGCAAAAATTCTCCTGGAAATCCGGACGAAGACGTCGAGGATAGGCGTGCCCGGTGTTCGAAAAGTGTCATGCGAAGAGATGGAAAGGTAGAAAAATTCATCCGGAGCCGCCATTCGTTTCAATCGGGAGAGCCTCGTTCCGATATTTTTCTGTGTCAGCGTATGTATACGCCCTGTATCCCGACGAACGGTGTCGGGTTCTTAAGTTCAATCTTCGTTACCAGTGTTCCTTCGGCGTTCTTCCCTTTCAGCGATTCGGTAGCGGCGAGTCGAGGGTTCTCCGCGTTTCCCGCATACGCGGGCCAGGCTTTGTTATATTTCGAAGCAATAGAGAGACAGAGAGATAGAGAAAAATGAAGAGAAAGAGAGAGAGAGAGAGAGAGAGAGAGAGAGCATAATGAAAAAATTGGCCCCGCTTTCACCGATCTTCTTGAGCGCTCGACGAGCAGTCGTTCGAGGAAGAGCTTTTTAATCGAGTATCGCGGGACCGTCCAATTAGCGCGATTCATTGTCCGTCGTTTTGGCCGACGCGACGCGTCGCTCCGATTCCCCCTGGCACGGTAATGTTTGACTGTTTTCGGCCTCCGGGGATCGGTTTTCGAGCCATTCGTAGTCACTGCCTCGTGTAAAACTTTAATGGAACAAACATCGGCCCGACACCAAACAGATTTTTCCCGATGCGCAGTCCGCCCGTGTCCTCGAACGTCCCCCGGCTCGCGTCCGCGGATATCGAATTAATTAGGCGTCCGATCCTCTCCCTCTGCTTAAATCCGAACGTCGATCGATCGGTTGGTAAGCTTCTCGCGTAGATTTTTTTATCTCGAAAATCGCGAGACTTCGTTCGAAACGTTGCTTTTTCCATTCGAGAAGCTTTATTTCGGAGGATACCTCGGAATTAGTCTATTTTAGAGTATCGATCTATCGCGAGGTTATTAATTCGCGAGAATAGAAAATACTGCTCGGTAAAGTTTCACGCTTGACACACGAATATTTAGAATCTGGCGCGCGGTAAATGAAAATTGATTTTCTCGTATCAGAGAGAGAGAGAGAGAGAGAGAGAGAGAGAGAGAGAGAGGGAGAGTAAAGTGTGTAATTAGAATTAGAAGTACAGAAGTGTACGTGTAATTAGAATTAGAAGTACAGAAGTGTACGGTGTAATAAGAATTAGAAGTACAGAAGTGTACGTAATAAGAACTAGAAGCGCAGAGTTATACGGAAAAACGGCAATAATTCTGTTAAATTAAATAACCGTGTTCGTATCGGGAGGAGAGATGTCTAAAAAAAAGAAACGCTCGAACGTGCTGCACCGTTTAAAAGTCGAGTTTCCTAAGGGCTTTCCGGGCGACCATCGACGCAGCTCGACCAGAGCGCTATTTTATCGGGAAGTGTTAAAGGATCGGGTTCCTCGATAATCCCGCTTTGCAAATTAGGACACTTAGCGATAGCCCGAGCACGAAAACTCAGCTAAAGTGTATCAGCACTCGAGGAGACACCGCATCCCCGACCCGTAATCCCGACCGCCGAAATCGTTCACCGTGATTCATCCCGTAGGCCACGATCCCCGGGATAGACAGTTTAAGATACAACAGAGCGGGCAGCGACGAATCGGTACCATTATTCTCCGCAGGGGAATCTCTTGTTGATTCCACTTTGAAAAAACTCGAAACGAAAACGACACCAGCTTCCTGCTGTCCGATGGATCCTGCGGTAAATATTCTCTCGGCCTGACGAATCGCGACCCGTGCCACTTTGGTGTTTTTCCTTTCGAAACAACAGGATATCCTTAACCCCTTGCCGCACTTTGCCGAGTCCGACTCATCGTGAAAATTTCTAGGAACAACTTATCGAGTATAGATGTCGTTCTGTCCTTTAGAATTGGAACAAAATTCTAATCTCCTGTCGTCGATATTCAAGCATTCGAGTAAATTTAAGCTTCTAATAAGCATCAATTTTCTTCCTTTTCTAAGAAATTATTGCGATCGAAAGATTTCTAATCGCAGCAACTGCGAAGAAAATGGTGTGTCAACGGGTTAAAGTTCCTGTCAACGTTGCATATCGCGTTTTAACGCCGTTCAGCGTTACGCCGAGCTCGAGAAACCGAGACCGAATTTATTTAGATCTTTCGCCATTGTTCTCGAATTATAAGTTCGAACAATAGAATTTATTCGATGGTTTCCTAATAGAGAGTCTCCATAATTTCCGCATTTTCAAAATAAAAATTCATTTCGATCGGCACGATAGGTCTAGCGTCGAACAACGTCGTAGCGATCACGTTTCCATAGCCTCTACGGTTACACACGTAACCGGAATAACTGGGGCATCGTTATTGGATTACATTTCCAGTGCTCGTTTGGTCCCGAAAAAATGATCATACGTCGAAGGATGTTCGACGAATCGTGCGAGTCCCTGCGTGTCGAAGCCAGAAAGGACCCTGACCAACATTCCCCCGAGGGCCCAGCACCGTACACCCGTTGTCGCCTAATCGTTTTCTTTATCGCGGTGGAAAGTGATCTCGACGATAAAAAGGATTCCACGTTGATGCGTCTCGGACAAGAGAACAAGGGCATCCCGCGAGACGTTCGCCGCACTAAAGTCAAAATGAAAACCGTAAATACTTCCGGCCGCATTGCAGAACGCCGGTCGTTAAATTTAATTTTACGACACAATATGTATATATCGTGTTTTCCTGATCCTCGTAAAACGATTCTTCCAATCCGGACGCATCCACGGTCATAATCCGCGTGACGCACGACATTTTCAGAACGACATCGACCGTGAAGAATCCCTTTCTTGCCGCATGATTCTCAAATTTCACAAGTCTCTCTTGTAAACGAATCCTCTAAAAATGCTCTCGAAAACATCGGCGCGTCGTTGTTTCCGCGAGATTCTCGGTTCGATCACGTAATTCCCAGCCTCGTGTTCCCGCCCACGTGCACGGGACAGCCGAAAATTCGTTTACAGCCGCCCCCGATCTCGCGGCTAATTCGTTTAGATCGCGAACTTCGCCGCGGAATTAATTCTATTCATTACGACGGGGAAAGTCGATTGTCTCGCTGATCGTCGCGGCGCGGCGCTGCGTCGACGCGACGTTTCGAGGTTGCCTAGCGGGAAATTGACGGGGTTTCGGGATTTTCGGAGTGCATTATTGTGTTCCGCCGTCTAATAACCATTCCGAGATTTATTTTGCCCGCTGAATCGCTCGAGAGATCGTTCTACGGACTGCGCGATT